ACATTGAATGTATTAAAGAGGCATCTAGATATAGCATTTGGGGCAAATGGGATCAAGGTTATAGGGAGAAGGCAGAATTAGACTACTGAATTGAACAATCAGCCCTGATTGTGGTGAATAACAGAGCAGGCCCAAGGGGCTGAATGGCCTCCTCCTGCTCCTATCTTCTATATTTTCTATGTTTCTATAAATTGTGACTGTGGCCAACCAAATCAGACCCTTGTTCATGAAGACCATAAGATGTAGCAACAGCACCATTTGGCTAACAGGTCCATTCTGTCATTTAATGAAATCGTGGCTAATCTGATAATCCTCAACTCCACTTTCATGTTTTATCCCCATAAACCTATATTCCATTATTGATTAGAAATATGCAGATACTTAATGATCCAGCCTAGAAAACCATCTGCAGTAAGGATTTGATAGATTCACTACACTCAAGAAAAACTCCTTCTCATCTTTGTCGAAAGTGGCAATTTATAACTCTGAGATTATGCCTACTGGTCCTAGGCTCTCCTATGTGGTGGTGGTGGTGGGGGTGGGGGGAGCAGATTCTCATTACATCTACCCTAACAAGCCGCTGAAGAATCTGATAATGGCTATATAAGAACTCCTCTCATTCTTCTAAACTCTAATGAGTACAAGTCCAACCTACTGAACCTTTCCTCATGAGACACCAGAGATCAACCTAGTGAACCTTCTCCAGATTACCTCCAATGCCAATATACCTTTCCTGAAGTAAACAGACCAAGATTGTTCACAATATTTCAGTGGTCTAACTAGTGCCTTGATTTATTTTTATAAAACCTTCCTATTATTACACTTCATTCCCTATGAAATAAAACCCAACATTCCATTTGACTCAGAGATAGTAGGAACTGCAGATGCTGGAGAATCCAAGACAACAAGGTGCAGGGCTGGATGAACACAGCAGGCCAAGCAGCATCATAGGAGCAAAAAGGCTGCTGTTTCGGGCCTAGACCCTTCTACCCAATTTCCATCCAAAATTGGATGCTAGCTTTTTGTGAGTTTTGCACTAGGAACCTACAGCATTTTTCAGTCTTTCCCTATTTAAATAATACTCAACTCATCTATCCTTCCTGCCAAGTGCATAACCTCACAGATACCTCAAATGTTTGTAATGAAGCTTTCACTTTAAAAAGGTTATTTTGTCCTGGGTTTTTTTTGAAGAAAGTTTGTGAAGGCAGAAGCACAAAACTAGCTACAAGAGACAGCCTAAGTAAACAACTTAGTAGGCCTTTAGGTTTTTTTTAAATGGTTGGAACAATGGAAGCAGCTTGAATGGGAGAGGCTTTCTAGTTTGGTTTTAGCTTTAGAAGTCAAAAGCTGTTTGGGGTCCCAGAAGAGTCAGAAGCTTCAGTGAATGATTCCTAGCTGCTACTTTCTTTCAAATCTTTCTTGATGTTGTTTCCTCCTGGATTGGACAAATGCATGTAAGAATCTGTGTCTGAATTTACCTTTTTACCAAGGGGTGTGTTTATGGGATGTTACTATTTTGGAACAGTTAATTAGTAGTAGGTACTACATCTATTATTTGGTTAAATTTTCCAATAGTTAAGTTATTCTAAATTTCTCTTTCTTTTGTTTGTATTTTAACTGAAGTGTTTAAATAAATTGTGTTTTGCTTAACATCAAGTGGCTTGACCAATCACAGCACACCTGGCACATGCGCTTCACATTTACCTTTAAAATAAGAAAAAGTTAGGGACTAGGCGATCTTTACAAAATATTTTGAGGGTGTCTATTCTGGTCAATAACATGTTTATTACATCTGCCAAGTTTTAGCCCATTCAATTATCCTGTCTATACCCCTCCTTCTGTCATCATATTTGCCTTCCCATCTATTTTTGGGTCATCCACAAACATAAGAACTGGGAGCAGCAGTCAGCAATTACAGCCCCATGATTCTACTCCGCCACAACAAGTGAACTTTTCCCCTCCCACTCAAAGGTCCTCTGCAGCCAAGATGCAATATCTTGAACCCAGGAATCAAGCAGGCACCACCACTTGTGGGACTGTTAATCCTGACCAAAGAAGAGAGTGTCTAATCCCCTGACTATATGAGCCCCAAATGCAATTAGCTATTATTATCCTCAATTAACACCCCAGACCCCGCTTTTGCATGTACTATAGTGCTAGAGTCAGTTTTCTCATTTTCTCTATAGTCCCAGCTCTTGATCACACAACCAGCAAGAATCTCGTACCTGTTGGCCAAAGACAAGGGCTGAGGCTCCTGCAGCACTACCTCCTTTATCCGTCTACCTCACTTGCTCATAATCACACCCTCAAACTTGGTCATGGTACATTCATTTTCAGCATCCAAGTCATTAAAATGTATTGCAATTAATTATGGCCCCAACACTGATCCCTGTGGCAATCCAGTTCTTCTTTGGCAGTTCCTCAGGGTCGAGCATGACTTGCAGAGGCTCCAGGGAAGTGGGGTTCTCTGGTAGTTGAATAGTCTAATCTTGGAGTTGCAAACTTTGCAACAGGAGGGAAAGGTGGTGTTTGAAGAGATGGATGGGTGGGTCATTTTGGATTCTGCGAATTCTTTCCACTGTTTGCACTTGAGCTTCACACGATGACACTCGAAGTAGTTGGTGTGTTCATGGATGTTTCTTTTCCAGATTGTGCATTCTCGGTCAAGTGATTCCCAAGCGTCAGTGGGGATGTTGCATTTGCTGAAGGGGGTTTTAAGGATATCATTGAGGCATTTCCTCTGCCCTCATAGTGATCGCTTACCATTACAAAACTTGGAGCACAGCACTTGTTTAGGGAGTCTGTTTTGGGTATGCAGACATTGTGGTCTGCCCATTGCAGCTGGTTGTGAATGTCTACTGCTTCAATATTGGGGTTAGTAGCCTGGGAGAGAACAGTTACACGCATACACCTATCCTGCTGGTGGATTTGCAGGATTTTGCAAAGGCAGCAACAGTGACATTTGTCCAGAGATCTGAGGTGTCTACGCTACATGGTCCATGTTTCTGATGCAAACAGGAGGGTGAAGTCTACAGCTGCTCCATAGACCATGACCTTTGTGCTAGGTTTGAGGTCTTGGATTCCGAACACCCTGTTTCTCTGGCATCTGAAGGCCGCACTGGCACACTGAAGTCAATGTTATATTTCATCATCAATGTCTGCTCACACCAAGAGGAGGCTGCCAATGTATGAGCAATGGCCCATGTTGTCCAGGGACCCAGTGTTGATTTTTATGGTCAGGGACAGTGTTGAGTGACAAAAGGTACCCCACTAGCTGTAAGTTGTAAATGCCTTTATCTCCGCTGTCTGTCTTTATTTATTTAGCAAATCCTCTGTCCATGCTAACGTACTACACCCATGGGGTCTTATATTATTTAGTAGCCTTATGTGCAGTACATTATCCATCACCTTTTGGTAATCCAAATACAGTTCATCTACTGGTTCCCCTTTATCTACACTGTCTAGTATCTCCTCAAAGAATAAATTTGTAAATAAATTTGTCAGGCCTGATTTTCTCTTCATGAAATCATGTTGACTCTGCTTAATTATGTTATGCATTTCTACATGGAAGATGGTAGGTACCTGGAATGTGCTGTCATGAGAGGTGGTAGAAGCAGATATAACAGCAACATTTGACAGGCTTTCAGACAGACACTTGAACAGACAGAGACTACAGGGGTATGGACCATGTGCATGCAGATGTGATTAGTTCGGAATGGCTTCATGGTCGGAGCAGAAATAGTAAGGTGAAAGGCCTTTTCCTGTGCTGTACTGTTCTAGGTTTTATATTAAATGCTCTGCTATTATAACCTTTATAATGGACTCTAACATTTTCCCAATAACAGATGTTAAGCTAACTAGACTGTAATTGCTTGTTTTTTGTCTCCCTTGCATTTTTCAATCCTCTGGGACATTTCCTGGTCTAAGGATTCTTAGAAGATTGCTAGCTTTTAAAATCAGATCCAGGGAACTTATTGGTCCCACGGTGCTCCATTAGTTTCTCTAGTACTTTTGTTCTGGTGTTAATTATTGTGTTTATTTCCTCTATTTCCCCCATTCTGTTTTTAGACCCCCTTGATAATTTAAAATTTTTGGAATGGTATTAGTGTGCTGCAAGGTGAAGACCAATGCAAATTATTTATTCAACTATTCAACCATTTTCTGACTTTGCATCATTATTTGCCCATATTCGTACTCTAAGGGTTATATGTTCATTGTTGCCTCTCTCTTTTTGTATATTTAAAGAAACTCTCACTGTATATTGTTAATTTACTTGTCCATTTGCCCTTGCAATTTATTTGCTTCCTCATCATCTTTTTGGTCATATTTCGTCAGCTTTTTTCCCCACTCCTTTGATTTGTGACACATTTTATGTTTTTATTGAACTTGATACTGTTCTTAACTTCCCTGGTTAACCATAGTCAGTTTATCCCCTTTCTAGAATCCTTATTCCTACTGGGATAAATCTTTGCTGTTAAGGCACTAACTGTTGAAATGGCTGCCATTGTTCATCAACTGTCTTTTCTACTAAATCCCCTTCCCAGTCCACTCCAGCTAGCTCTGCCCTCATTCCCATGCTTAATTTTAGCAGTTATTTTTGACCCAAGTTTTTCATGCTCAGACTGAATGCTGAATTCTATCATGTTATGGTCATTGTTCCCTAGAGGTTGTTTTATTCTAAGATAATTTGTTAAACTTGCCTCATTACCCGAACCAAAACGGGTTGGATCCCTGGTTGGATCCACAACATATTGTTCCAGGAAACTGTCCCAAATTTACCCTATGATTTCTTCCACATGGCTATCTCCGCCAATCTGATTTTCTCAATCTACATGAAGACTAAAATCACGCATGATTAATGCATTGCTTTTTTACCTGCCATCCTTATCTTTTGAATTATTCTCCATCCTACAGAACAGCTAATGTTAGGGACCCAGTAGATTATACCCACAAGCATTTTCTTCCCCTGTTATTTCTACATCAACCAATCCAAATTCATTTCATGCTAACATACTAAGTCCATATCGTACTGTCATAGTTACCTGTTCCAGTCCAGTAGAGTTATCATTGATGCCATCAGGCAGTAAGATAATCAAACTTAGCTCATTTTGGACATAAGGGAGTTCCAGAACTTTGGTTTGGAGTTCCTCAATATAACCAAAGTAAAATTCTCCTTCCTGGGACATCATGGTTATTGGCTTAGTTTCTCTCTGAGAAGAAAGTTATGAATAATTAACATCCATATAAATTTGACAGAGTAAAAAGATATAAAATTCAATTTACAATAATTTTATCACCAGAACAACTTACTTTGTTTAGCCAGAATGATTTTATATATGTGTCATTTTTAGAGAATTTTCTGTTCCACTTCCCTTTAAAGTAGATGGCATTTACAAGAACAAGCTTTGTTAACGGAGTAATAATTCCCTCTGGCAGAATGTTCTGGATTTTACCTAAATCAAAGCACACAAATGAACAGCTGCAAGTTTAGCAAGGTGAAGTATGATATTTAAAACAACAATATACTTGTAGCTGACAATTCGGATACTGGCATGCTATGAAACACATCAGTGCTCCATTTGGAAGCAGCAACTTCCAGGGTTTAATGTTTTGTTCAGGTTGATCAGGTAAGCTTGGAATTTCTTAGAACTGCATTTTGCCCCAGACTCATTCTGTTGGCTCCCCATTTGCCTGGAGGTGGATTTAGTTAAATAGGTTGCAGCAGTGAGGTCATTAGGTTTAATATCTTCAAATTTTAAAAATTGGCCTTACTGGAGTTAATTCATATAATATATTTATGTAGATCACAGGGCTGATTAGCATAAATTGAATATTGATTTCACCAATTTAACAAAAACAGAAATTGCTGGAAATCTCAGCAGGTTTGCAGCATCAGTGGAGAGAAATCAGAGTTAACGTTTCAGGTCCAGTAATCCTCCCCAGAACTGATCATAGCTAGGAAAAATTGTTTTCTATACAGAAGATAGGATGGGGGAGTGGTTAAGGAGTAAACAATAACTGACGATAGAGCCCAAAGAAAGAGAAGAACAGTTGGACACACAGAAGAGTGGATAACGATCAGTCTAAGAGAATGAATAGTTACTAATGGGAACTATTAGTGGCTAACAATGGGTTGTGTGAAAACGGACCATGTGGTAACAAGGCCTGCTGTATGGGGTTTGGGTTAAGGACATGGGAGAAGGTCCCTTAAGCCCTAAAATTGTTCAAATTGGTTTTGAGTCCAGAAGGCTGTAGAGGTCCCAAATGGAAAATGAGGTGCTGTTTTTCCAGCTTGCACTGAGTTTGTTGGAGCACTGAAACAGAGATTTTGGCTGGGGAACAAGGAGATGTGTTGAAGTGGCAAGCAACTTGAAGCTCAGTGTCTTTTTTGCGGACAGAACGTCGGTAGTCTGCAAAGTGATCACCCAGTGTTTTTGAATGCAGAATACAGGGTTAATGGCAGGATTCTTGGCAGCGTGGAGGAACAGGGAGATCTTGGGGTCCACGTCCCTAGATCCCCAAAGTTGCTACCCAAGTTGATAGGGTTGTTAAGAAGGTGTATGGTGTGTTGGCTTTCATTGGCAGAGGAATTCAGTTTCAGAGCTGTGAGGTTATGCTGCAGCTCTATAAAACCCTGGTTAGACTACACTTGGAATATTGTGTTCAGTTCTGGTCACCTCATTATAGGAAAGATGTGGAAGCTTCAGAGAAGGTGCAGAGGAGATTTACCAGGATGCTGCCTGGACTGGAGGGCAGTTCTTATGAGGAAAGGGTGAGGGAGCTATGGTTTTTCTCATTGGAGCATAAAAGGATGAGAGGTGACTTGATAGAGGCGTACAAGATGATGAGAGGCATAGATAGCCAGAGACCTTTTCCCCAGAGCAGAAATGACTATTACGAGGGGCATAATTTTAAGGTGATTGGCGGAAGGTATAGGGGAGATGTCAGAGGTAGGTTCTTTACCCAGAGAGTGGTGGGTGCGTGGAATGCACTGCAGCGGTGGTAGTGGAGTTACGGACATTTAAGCAACTCTTGGTTAGAAACATGGATGATAGTAAAATGTAGAGTATGCAGGGTAGTTTGATCTGAGAATAGGATAATAGGTCAGCACAACATCGTGGGCCGAAGGGCCTGTATTGTGCTGTACTGTTCTATGTTCACCCAATGTAGAGGAGACCACATTGTGAGCAGCAAATACAGTAGACTAGATTGAGTGAAATGCAGGTAAAGTTAGGTGGAAGGAAACCAGGAAGAGCTAGCTAATTGGATTCAAAATTGGCTCAATGATAGGAAGCAGAGAGTGATGGTTGAAGATTGTTTCTTGGACTAGAGGCCTATGACTAGTGATGTGCTACAGGGATCAGCACTGGGACCTTTGTAATTTGTTATTTACATAAATGATCTGGATGCGAATGTACAAGGCATGATTTGTAAGTTTGCGGATGATACAAAATTAGGAGGTATCATTGATAGTGAAGAAGGTTATTAAAAATTACAGAGGAATCCAGATCAAATGGGGAAGTGGGCTGAGGATAGGCAAATGCAATTCAATACAGATAAGTGTGAGGTGTTGCATTTTGGAAAGTCAAACCAAGGTAAGACTTATACAGTAAATGGTAAGGTCCTGAGGAGAGTTTTGGAAAAGAGAGACCTTGGAGTACAAGTACATAGTTCATTGAAAGCAGCGTCACAGGTGGACACGGTGGTGAAGAAGGTATTTAGCATGCTGGGCTTCATTGGGCAAGGCATTGAGGAAAAGAGTTGGAACGTTATATTACAGTTGTATAAATCATTGGTGAGGCCGCACTTGGAGTATTGTGTATAGTTTTAGTCACCCTTTTATAGGAAAGACATAGTTAAACTGGAAAATGTGCAAAGAAGATTTACAAGGATGTTGCCAAGACTAGTAGGCCTGAGTTATAGGGAGAAGTTGGCCAGGATAGGACATTATTCCTTAGAACGCAGGAGAATGAGGGGTGACCTTATTGAGGTGTATAAAATCCTGAGGGGCATGGATAGGATGAATGCATACAGTCTTTTTCCCCGACGGATGGGGAAATTGAAAACTAGAGGGCATAAGTTTAAGGTGAGAGAAGATAGATTTAAGAAGGACCTGAGGAGCAACTTCTTCACACAGAGAGTGGTGCGGGAAAGGAATGGGCTGCCAGAGAAAGTGGTTGAGGCAAGTGCAATAGCAACATTTAAAAGACATTTGGATAGGTACATGGATGAGAAGGGTTTAGAGGGATATGGACCAAACGCAGGCAATTGGAATTAGCTGAGTGGGCACCATGGTCAGCCTAGTGCTGTTTGGGCTAAAGAGCCTGTTTCCATGCTGTATCACGTTACGACTCTATGACTCTAAAGCAGTGCTTCACCAGAAAGGTTCATTTGGGCCCTTGGATACGGAGGATGGAGGAAGTAAATGGGCAGGTGTTACAAATTCTGCGGTTGTAGGACGGGAGGTGCCGTGGAGCTGTTGGGGTATGTTGGGAATGAAGGAAGGTGTCTCAGAGGAAATGGTCCTTGCAGAAGGCTGATAAAGGGAGGGGAGGCGAATATATCACTGGTGGTGGCATCCCACTAGAGGTGAGGGAAATAGCAGCTAACGATACTCTGGGTGTGGGTGCTGGTGGGATGGTAGGAGAGAAAGGAGGACCCCATCACTATTGCGGCAGGGAAGAGAGAGGGTGAGGGCAGAAGTGCATGAGATGGGTCAGACCTGGCTGAGGGCCCTGTCAACTATGGTGCTAGGGAATCCGCAATTGAGGAAGAAGGTGGACATTTTGGAGGCCCTCTTGTTGAAGTTAGCGTCATCAGAACAGGAACAGAGGAACTGGGAAAATGGAATAGAGTCTTTACAGAAAACAGGGTGTGAGGGTATGTCGTCAGGGTAACTGCTGGAGCCGGTTGGTTTGTAGTGGATATTGGTGGCCAGCCTATCCCCAGAAATGGAAACAGTGATGTCGAGGAAGGAAAGCAAGAAGTCAGAGATGGACCATGTGAGAGTGGGGTGGAAACTGGAAGCAAATTTGATAAATGTTTCCAATTCCAGATGAGAGAGGGAAGCAAAATCATTAATAAACCAGAGAAAGAGTTGTGTGAGAGGGCCAGAATAGGACTGGAACAAGGAATGTTCCACATTTCCCACAAAGAGTCAGACATTACTGGGACCCATGCGGATACCCATAGCCATACCTCTGATCTGAAGAAAGTGAGAGGAGTTAAGAGAGAAGTTGTTCAGAGTGAGGACAAGCTCAGCCAGGCAGAGGAGGTTGGCGGTGGATGAGGACTTTCAGGCCTTTTTTCCAGGAAGTAGCAAAGTGCCCTGAGACCATCCTGATGTGGGATGCGCGTGTAAATGGATTGCATGTCCATGGTAAACAGGAGGTGGCTGGAGCCCGCAAACTGGAAATTCTGAAACTGACGTAAAGCATCAGAGGAATCACAGATGTAATTAGAAAGGGACTGGACAAGGGATAAAAAAAATTGAGTCAAAGTAGGAAGAGATGAATTGTGTGTCAGGCAGGAGCAGACAGAAACAATGGGTCTGCCTGGGCAATCCTGTTTGTGGATTTTGGGAAAGAGGTAGAAGCGAGCTATGCAGGTTTGGGAGACTATGATCTTGAGGACAGTAGCGGGGGAGGTCACCAGATGAAGTGAAGTTAGTGACCATAGTGGACACAATGGCCTGATGTACCATAGTGAGGTCATGGTCCAGGAGGAGATAGGAGGAGATTCGTAGAGCTGGCGCTCAGCCTCTGCAATGTAGAGGCTAGTCCGGCAGACAACAACAGCACCGTCCTTATCAGCAGGTTTAATTCCAAAGTCAAGGTTGGATCTGAGAGCTTCAAGTACCATGAGTTCGTGGGGAGATAGGTTGGCATTAGTGAGTGTGGGCAGAAAAATTAGGACGACCAAAGTCATGTCGACAGTTCTCAATTTATAATCTGTCTAAACTCCTCGTAATATTATACACCTTAATTCGGTTACCCTTCAGCCTCCTCAGTTCCAAAGAAAATACCCCAGCTTATCCAAGCTTTTGTCATGATGTTTTCTAACCTTGGCAACATCCTTATAAATCATTTGTGCACTGTTTCAGTACAATCACATCTTTCCAGTTTCTTGCTTGCAGCTGAACCAGGGCAGCACGGTGGCTCAGTGATTAGCACCACTACCTCACAGCGCCAGGTTCCTGGGTTCAACACCACCCTTGGGTGACTGTCTATGTGGAGTTTGCACATTCTTCCTGTGTCTACGTAGATTTCCTCCGAGTGCTCTGGTTTCCTCCCACAGTCCAAAAATGTGCAGGGTAGGTGGATTAGCCATGCTAAATTACCCGTAGTGTCCAGGGATGTTTAGGTTAGGTGGGTTGGACATGGGGAAATGCAGGGGTAAGGGAAAGAGTCGGAGTGAGATGCTCTTTGGAGGGGCGGTGTGGACTTGTTGGGCCAAATGGCCTGTTTCCACACTGTGATTCTATGATGGACCCAAGCTGTGATCTGATTTGGTTTGCATACAATTCTAGCATAACTTCCTTGCCCTTGTAATATAAGCCTCAGCTATTAAAGAAAAGCATGCTATATGCCTTCTTAAATCAGTTTATTGAACTGTCCTGCTGTCTTACAGAGAACATATTCTTCTTCTTCATAGGTACCTTTGTTTCTCCACAATGCTCAATATCCTTCCGTTTAGTGCAGATTTTCCTGTCTTCTTGCACTTCCCATTGTGAACTACTTCACACCTCTCTGCATTGAATTCTATTTTCCATCTCTCTACCTAACTGACCATATCTATCTTAGTACAATTTAAAACATTCCTCATTATATTAACCATATCATGTTCACATCATGTGCAAAATTCTTTTATCATGCTCTCTACATTTGAATCCAAATTATCAACATTAATGCCAGGAAAGTTCCAAGATATGCAAAACTCCATTAGATTCAGCCTTCAATAGTCACACAAAAATAAAACAAAGAACTATGGGTGCTGGAAATTTGAAACCAAAAAAGAAATTGCTGTAAAACTCAACCTCTCATGTTCCCCATTATCACCTTTCAAGCTTTTCTTCGTCCCTGGCTTAATGTCAACAATCTCTTTGCCTAACTTCTCCCCTCTCTGTCTCTATCTCCACCAACCCACTCAATACTTTACCACCACCCCTTGTCATCAAATACCACATTTTCTTAGATGTTCTGAAGGATCAGTGGACTTGAAATGTTAATTGTTTCTCTCTACACAGATGCTGCCAGACCTCCTGAGTTTCTGCAGTGATTTCTGTTTCTGCTTCAATAGTTACAGTCTGAAAGCCTGCCTTTTGAGTTCAGATTCAAAGAGGCCTGCCTCCAAAACTTAATTATTTAATGATCTTCATTTAAGATTTATTTAAAACATAGAAACACACAAAAAGGAGTCAGTCATTCAGTCCTTAGAACCTATTCTGTTATCCAATTAGATCAAAACTGATCTTTAGCATCATCTTCTCTTCAAAGTAGTAAAAATGTTTCCCTGATGGATTCCTTCAAGGTCAAAACATCATTAAACTTTGTTTGTTATTACCATGTATGTGTGGGGAATAAGTTTATTTCTAAATACCATCCTTCGACAGCACATCAGTTAGATATTTTCTAATGAACCTATTCAGAGATGTTATGATATACCCCTGGAGCAAGTGGGACTTGAAGCCCAGGTCTCCCAATCCAGGGGTAAGTAACACGACCACTGTTCCACAAGGGGGCCCTTTCAGGACATCAGTTAGGATTTAATCATAAAGTTAATACAGCTGATTCATTTTACTTTCGATTTTAATCGTTGTGTAACTACTTCTCCTCTAGTCTAATTCAAATAAGTAGTACAAATATCAAATACAACTTACCTTCAGTCTTGTCGCCTACCCAAGAATTGATCACTTTTCTGGCAGCTTCTGGCTGACTTTGAAAACTAACAGTAGCCAATTGTGAACCATAGAACTCTGATGCAGAGTTTTGGAATTTCTGAAAAACAATGAACATCAATGATAATCTTCTTTAAGTGCAAATGGGAGAAAGTTTACTTCTTGACAAGAGAGCCATTAGAACATAGGTAAATTTAAAAGGAATTTAATAAAGGTTTGCTGATAGGCTGAAATTAACAGTGAAGGCAATGGACTAGTTTATATGCTGTGTGTTCTACATAATTCAATGCTTTCCACAGACAACTGAGTGAATTCTGGTCAACATTTAAGTGAAGAAACTAAGTATTCAGAAACATTTGTCTTGAGTTTTGCCTATAAAAACTATTAAAAGGGTGGATTCAAGTCTTACCTGTCTCAAAGAAACATCAAAACATGTCTGAACAGGTTGATTAAAAATATCTATAAAAACAATGCTGTATATATTGACTTCATGAAATATTACAGTTAAGATAATGATTTGGATTCCTTAATATAACAGATACCATTACTGACAACCAGATTTTTGAAACAAACTGTGTTGCCCTTGTGTACCACAACAGTGCAATGTCCATACAAATATACATACAAACTAAGAGGAGTAGTCCTTAAGTTCTGATTAAAAATAGTAGCCCCAACATTCTGATGATATTTTCTGCCACTGGAATTGTGGCTGGGTAATATTTTTGTTCAGCAACAAAAGTTTTTAAAAAGTTGAAAATTCCCTCTTCTTGTGCTGCTCCCTATAAGGATATTGTGAGAGCTGAGCATTTTGTTATACATGGTGAAGTGTAGACGGAGCCAGTTCGACAGTAGGGTATCAAGATGGTGTGTTTTTCCTCAGTGCAGAACACAGCAGTTGCTCATTCTGTTGATTTGACTTAGTGAGAAAGCTATTCAAATTCTCCACTCGGGTTAAAATAATAATCAGGCCTTGATGACATCTGCATAATTAAATAAGGCTGATTTCCAGCGGGTGTGCTAGCTGTTTATTCAATCAGAAGTGACATGACACCAGGTTATAGTCCAATAAGTTTATTTGACATCACAAGTTTCCAAAGCACTGCTCCTTCGTCAGGTGAAGTCACCTGATGAGGGAGAAGTGCTCCAAAAGCTTGTGATTTCAAATATACCTGTTGGACTATAACCTGTTGTTGTATCACTTCTGACTTTGTCCAAACCAGTCCAACACTGGCACCTCCATATCTTATTTACTCAGGATTGTGGATTTCAGCATCAAGCCCCCTAAGAAAGCTCAGGGATCCACATTCAACCAGTAGCTCTGCAATCTGAATCAATTGTATATCTTTTCATCCTATTAAAACATTGATATCATTATGAAATATTTTTCACTTATTTTGTTCAGCCAGTAGCATGAATGGAATGGAAATCATGGAAAGAAAGTCATAGTAGAAATTTTAATATGTATCATTGTAAAGGCTTTGTAGTGAGTATATTTCAGGACCAATTTAAAATATGAGAATTAAAGTTGCATGATGATGTGCAGCATCTATGAAGATCTCCAGGTCCCCAAATTTAGGCTCGCAAAATTGCACACAGTGTTGATAGGACTTGCCACCGCCAAAATGGCTGCAAACAAGACATGACAAAGGAAACACTTAGCACTCACACACACTCACGAAAATTATGATTGAAATAAATTTGGCGTGCAGAGTGATCCTTGAGGACTTCTACCGCAAAATGTGCCAGCCACCTCAAGACCTACAGTGTACTCCCTGCTGTTCTAATGATTGAATGTTCCCTGTTGTATTACTGCTCAGTTGGAATCTTGGAACTCCACATAGGTATGGGGATCTTTCCACGGAATTGGTTTTAATGGCAGATATGACAAAAGTATGAAAGTTTAAAGAAGATTACATTCTAGTGTTTATTTTTGCTGATTAAAATATTACAAGAAATTTGGGCTAATGCCACACATGATTTTAGAATCATAGAATCCTTACAGTGTGGAAGCAGGCCATTAGGCCCAACAAAGTCCACACCAACCCTCTAGCTAGCCTGCACATCCCTGGACACTATGGGCAATTTAGCACAGCCAATCCACCTAACCTACACATCTTTGGACTGTGGGAGGAAACCAAAGCACCCAGAGGAAACCCATGCACACACAGGGAGAATGTGCAAACTCCACACAGATAGTTGCCTGAGGCTGGAATCAAATGCAGGTTCCTGATGCTGTGAGGCAGCAGTGCTAATTACTAAGGCACCATGCCACCCCTGTTATCTGTTCATTTACTTAGTCAGAAAAATGATGCACATAATGTGCCAAAACTGACGTGCTCTCCAGTGCACTGACCTGATGTGTCACAGGTACAGAGTTAGAAAATGCATGGCTTCAGAAGAACAGAATGAGAATATGATACAATTCAATGTATGAAGGCTCAAGCTTTCTTATCCCTAAAGCATTTATTATCTTGGAAGTAGTATTTGCAACAAATTTAGGTGCAAGAATGAATTGAACTGGTTCCTCTCATTTTGTGATTTGTTATTTTACCTACTACAAAACTATAGATTCCATGTCATTGCCTTTAAGGTTACGTTGCCATAATGTTACACAATTGTTGAAAATGGTGAATCATGTCTAGTAAGTGTGACCAATTTTCATCAATCTGATCTTACTTCGAGAAATGTGTATGTTTCCTCTCCAAATAGACAATTAGCCAGTTTCAGCAGATAAGGTTTGTCACGGTCATTGATAGCAGCCGTTAATTCCTTGAATCTTGGATGGACATCTCCTTGTGAAATGCAGAACCTGTTATGAAAATAAAAATAAAGTTGTGAGTTTAAGTGGGCTTCAGCCAATTGATCAAAAATTAGACATCTGACCAAATATATAGATAACCAACTAGCTTTTTCATCTTGCACTCATCAGGTTTGGGATACAAGAAGCCTAATTTACAAAGAGAACACTATCTCACACAGCATGAGAAGATGGTGCTGATTGGTTGGGCCATAGTTGGCAGGGCAATACAGCAGGAATTGTTAACTGTCATTCTTAGCTACTTAATCACAGATCCAACTGACAATGTTGATTTGATTTCCAGTATAGTTCTGAAACCAGTCATGATAAATTTTTAAATCTTATCCAACAGCAGAATGGCATCTAACACTCAATTCAACGTTCTGAGGTTTGTAATATGTTAAGCACAGTCATCTCACTGCCCCCGGATGATCAAAGGGATGTATCATTTGATTTGGTCAACCTTTCTTTGGGACATACAATCTATATACCTGGCATTACACCAGCACTGAAACTGTACCAGATCACTCATTTGTATGATAGGCTAAATGTCTTTTGGCTTAACAGCAGCATCCTGTTCAGTGGAGACTTTCATTCGAGTATTTACTGCAAAGTAGCAACATGAGATGACTTGCTTCAGTTCTGCTGAGGGCAAAATTGCCAACCACATTACCAGATACAGTATATACTTAAACAGTCATTAAATCTGCCAGGTTAAGTTGTGCAAATATTTATATTAAAATGGACTTTTATAACCATCACCATTTTCTAGTTAACGAGTCCCCTAACATATTCAATGTCGAAATCTCCCTTTACACATCTATAAATCAACATTTTAAATCTCAAAATCAAACTGTTCATAATCGCAATGTTAGATTCTGTAGCACATTTGAAGAGTGTTTTCTATAATCAATTATTATTATATCAGTAATTATTATAGAAAATTATTATTATTGCTGATGTCAATTAATGAATTAACAGCACCAGTAGAGACAAATGGGTATGATTTGATCGTGATTAATGAGACATGGTTGCAGGGAGACCTGGTTTGGGAATTGAATATGCAAGGATACTCAGCATTTCCAAAGCATAGATTTGGGAAAAGAAGGTAGAGTAGCTTTATTAGTGAAGGAAGGGATAAGTGCTGTAGTGAGAAATTACATCAGCACGGGAGATCAAGGCACCAAAGTCAGTCTGGGTAGAAATAAGAAATGGCAAGGTAAATAAGTCCTTGGTAGCAATAATCTATAAGTCATCAAATAATAGCCCTGCAGTATAAACTAGGAAATACTGAAGGCTTGTAAGGGAAGCACAGCAATAATCATGGGTGATTTTAATATGTGTAATAGACTGGATTAATCAAATTAGCAAGGGTAGCTTCGAGGGAGATTTCATTGAATGTATTAGAGATTGTTTCGTGGAGGAAATCAACAAGGGAGTAAGCTATTTTGGAAATTGTAATGTACAATGGAGTGGGAATAATTAATGATCTTGTAGTAAAGAATACTCTCATGAAGAGCAATCATAAATTGCCAGAATTTCAAATTCATTTGGAAGAACACAAGTGTTCTGCAGTTTAACATAGGCATGAGGACAGATCTAGTCCTATGGGTGGGCAGACTGAAAGGACAATTGATGAGCACTGTAAGATGTCTAAAAAAAATTCAATTGCTCCCAGCTAAAATATATTCCAAAAAGAAAGAAAGATTGTAAGGGGGGCAAAGCATCAACGACTAAGCAAGAAAGTTTAAAGATATATAAAGGCAAAAACCAAGGTGTACCATGTTCCAAAGGTGAGTTGTAGGCTGGAACATTAGGAAACATATGTCTATAAAAGGGAAAAGAGAAGTTGAAGTGAATGTTGCTCCCTTGGAGGACGAGATTCGGGAGTTATTAGCAGGGAATGTGGAAATGCCAGAGTGACTAAATCAATATTTTTATACAATTTTCATGGTGGAAGACACAAGTACCATCCCAATAGTAATAATTAGTGTAGATGTTATAGAAAGGGAGGAATTTAGAACAATCATCATCGCTAGGGAAACAGTACTAAGCAAACTGTTGGCATTGAAAGCAGACAAATCCCCATGGCCTGACAGCCAACATCCTAGGAACATAAAGGAAGGGTGGTAGCAGAGATAGTAGGTCCATTGGTTGTACTTTTCCAGAAGCCTCTGGATATAGAAAAGGTTCTGGTGAATTGGGAAAATTCTAATATAACACCCTTATTCAAAAAAGTAGTAAATGGGAAGTTACAGATCACTTAGTTTAACATCTGTTGTTGGGAAATTGTTGGAATCCATGGTTAAGGAAGTAATGACAAGACATTTGGTCAAGACACAAGCCAAAGTACAATCCATCAGAAGGCAGTATGGTTTAATGAAGGATAAACTATGTTTGACAAATCTGCTAGAGTTCTTTGAAGATTTAATATGCAAAATAAGATAATGGGGATCCTATAGATATGGTATATCTGGACTTCCATAAGGCATTTGATAAAGTCCCACACAAAAGGTTAATATATAAGGTAAAATCACATGGGATTGGGGTAATTCATTAGATTGGATAGGGGATTGGCTAACCAACAGAAAGCAGGCAGTCAGGAATAAATGTGCCTATTTCTGGTTGGTTCAAAATGTAACTAGTAGAGATGCACAGGGTTTGGTCTTCAGGGGCCCCAACTATTTACAGTCTTTGTTACTGACTTTGACGCAAGGATAGAAAGTACTATAGCCAAATTTGAAGATGACACTAAAATGATGTAAAAGTAAGTTACAGTGAATAGATAAGAAATTTAGAAATAGATTGGGTCAAATTCATGGACTCCCTCCTGAATAGCATAGTGGGTTCACCTAGAGTACATGGATGGCAGTGGTTCGAGGAAACAGTTCACCGTCACTTTCTCGAGGGCAAGTGGGAAATAAATGGCTGGTCCAGCCAGCAATGCCTGTATCCTATGATTGATAATATCACCTCTTATTTTACAGCCTGTGTAAACTTCTCTCATAAAAAATGATTTCTTATCTCCTGTCCACCTGCTGTACCAAAGTCTCTGGAATTTCTTCAGAGACTCTTGGAGCACATTTTCTGAAGGCAGTGCCTCTTCCACAAATTCCACAAACATCTGTTGCAGCCATATTCCCTTTAAGAGCAGAATCAACAACTTTGGGGGGTAATAATACGGAATACTTCACTATGGGGCACTGTCATTCTGGGGGCTGGAGTTATGCTGAGGGACCAAGGATGCAAAAGGACAGTTCACAGACACAAATGATCCAGGGATGAGTGAAATCTAGAACAAACAATGCTTGTAGAATGCTCAGACCTGGGACAAAAGCCAGATTCTGGGATAGACCCGGAAAATCCAGGACAATTGGTCCACCTATTTAAGAAATGGGGGCAGAGTCTTATGGGGGGCTGAACGACTTGGGCTATGGTGGAATTTGTGGCAATAATCACATGAGAGGTCAGACAAGATCGATCTCAATAATGGAAGCAACTTAGATCTTTTAGGAACTGTTGGATTTCAAGGCGATCTCCTTACCTGCAACAGAGAATTGCATATTAAGGACGATTATTGCTTGTTAGTGACTTTGTTAAACTGTGCATTTCACCCCAGTGACATCCAGCTTCTTATCATACCAAACTCACCAAGCAAAATAGAATTGACATGGAAATCAGTGAAGGCATCTTGTAACTTCAGCTCGCAACTAGATGCGAAGAGCTTCCATGTTGCTCACCAAGCAATAGCATTTTAGGGCACAACCCATAGGCAGCAGCTGCATGCAGTCTTCAGCCACTAAAATTGGCATCAAACATTTGTCAACACCTCAAGATTCTCATGGCACCTCTCCAATCCAAGGCATAACAGGATGCTTAAGATGTAAAGACCAACGTTGCAGGGTGCACACGTAACTAGTATTGGTAAGCTTTAGCAAGGACACTTTTTGCACTGTGACACACACCCAGCTCACAGACTGGACCAGGCTGCTCTCCTGGGCTGCTCACTTGCTCTCTTAGCATTTCCTCACTTTACACCTGTTCTTGTCTTGCCTGTTAATGCATTGACTTTTCAACCACCCATAAGCAGTCAGGGGAATTATGTATTATCAATCAAGAACTGTGAAGATGGCAGTCAGAGAACTGATCAGTCATGTCCAGGACTGCCTGAAGTCGGTCAGTGGTCGGGGTCAAATATGTACGTTGATGGTTCAGGAGGGTGCAAAGAGTGCAGCCGGGGGAAGTCAGGTGGTGAGGCTAAATCACTGCCAAAATGAGGTGGGCCAGTTAAAGCTGTGGGGTGGAGCAGAAAGCAAAGTCATGTATTGAGGTGGGGACAAGGGCAGCGACAGGGGGAATCTTAATATATAATGGTGTGCAGGTAGAACAGCATTAAAGGCATGGTAGACTATAAGTGAGAAAGGTAGGTTATTGACAGTAACTACAGCTGTGGACTCCACTGGGGGAGAGTAGAGGAGGATGGGCAGCATTATTGTGTAATGTCAGGTTTCGGGTACAACGAAGACAACTGGAGACAAACTTCAATGTGGTGAATCTCCACGTGTGGTGGTATGGGTGGAACTGCGCTGTCAAGGTAGTGCAATGTAAAAGGGGAAATGGAAGCTCTGGGAGGTACCTGGTGTCCAGAAAGAGCCCAGTGTTTTTGCTTACAAACATGAACTGGATTTCCTGCCATCATCTGCCATTCTCTAAATGCTAACTGCAACTGGAGAATGGCTTGGACAATGTGTAAAATGAGGGAATCAGCATCAGTTCGATGAAAACCCAGGTCTGCTCGTCACTAGCAGATTGAAAGGGAACACCAATAAAAATGAGCATCAGACAAGTCAAATTATGAGCTTTTATTGACCCCATCAAAATGGAACAGATTGGAAATGAATAGAGGCTGCAGTTCACACCTGCCAAATGCTGGCATCATGACTCTGACAGTCCATGATGGTCTTCTGGACCCAGCTCACCTTACTGGAACCAAGTGTCAATCAGCCCTTGTAGAGCCCAATGTAGCTGAGCTCAATCATCCACAAAGCAAGCTTCACCCAGCTCAATGTCCTCATCTATCTACTTGGACAACTACTCCCATTCCCAGCTCCTCACGATGTATCACATTGCCACATTGCCTGCAGTAGTTGTGCAGAATACAACCTGCCAGGATGGTGCAGCATACTCTGTCTGGATTGTGAAGCTTTTGCTAGCAACAAGAAGGTGAATAGTCTATGGGTTGGTGACCAGTTATTAATGACAGACATCTTTTGCCTGATAACAACTATGTGATTGGTTCACAAATAACTGAATACTTGGAACTGGGAACAAGTTACTGAAAGACAGAGAAATGTTCAGTTCTTTCCCAGCTCAGACATGGTCTCTCTATTATCTGCCATCAAAATTCACTGTAAACCTGAAGAAAACTAGTTTATCTTTCCTGTAAAAGTTGTTAGTAACTGTGACTTTTAACAGATAGGCCAGATTTTTAATAAGAGAACGAACCAACTTGTGTGTCTTACCAACCACTGGAAGCATCTGGAGAAAGATGGCTGCAAAATACACATTTGCCAGCAGAAAATCATAAAGATCATCTCAACAATGGTACTTGGGAACAAAGACTACTGCACTGCCTTTCTGATTATTTTACTCCCAGCCAAATCTTATTTTACCCTTTTTGCTTGACTTTGAAAAGGGAGAGCTTATAAAGGGATTAGTTTTAATCAGTAGTGTTTTATGGCAATAGTTTAGAACTGTTTACCTAAAGC